TTTTCCAAAAAAAAATACATGTTCAAATTACTTATCATGCCTCCTAGAATATACCTTGGGGTGTTTGCTTTCCAAAATGTGGTCAGTATTTCTACTTTCCTGGTATGTTAGGGCCTCCAGAAATGAGGTAGACTGTCAGTACATCAGGTGTGATTAATTTTCATTACCACAGCCTGTAGACTCTGCAGGCCATAGACGGGTCGAAAATCGGCCGATTTTTCAGCTAATAAAAAAAAAAAAAAAAAAAAAAAAAAATCGGCTGATTTTTGCACCGCTAGTGGGTTAATTGGTCACCCGTTTTTCGGGGTTTTGCCACTTTTTTTTTTACCGGTAAAGTTAGAAAAAAAATCGGCCGATTTTGCTGATCGGCCGATTTTCCCGGCAATGATGGGCAAATCGGCTGATTGTTTTGCCGATAAAAAAAATCTGCGCATGAGCCGTGACCTGGAAAAAGAAAAAAGAAGAAGAATTTATATTTGAGATGAAAAAGTATTGCGGTTGCAACAATGTATGTATTTGTATCCAAATAAAACCATCTGTATCCAAAATGGATACAAATGGATACATTGTTGCAACTACAATACTTTTTCATGTCAAATATAATAGCGGAGCTCTCTGCAAGGGACAGAAGTAATTAAATGCTAGCTGTAGACGGGACAAAAATTGGCTGATACTTCTTTTTACCATTGGTGGTAACGTCGACCTATTGAACAACCGATTTATATAAATTTTTTTTTTATAAAACGGATGGTTTTCGACCTGTCTATGGCCTGCATTACTTTCACATAGACTACATAATATGCACTGATTTGGGTTATTTTTTTACCAAGGAAATGTAGCAGTTTAAATTTTGTCCTAAATTTATGTAGAAAAATGAATTATTTGCAAAATGTAAAAAATGGAAACGATGAAAAATGCATTTTTAAAAAAAAAAAAAAAGACGGTATTTTTAAAATTATATCTAAAAAAATAACCCAGTGGTAAATAAATACCACCAAAAGAAAGCTCTAATTGTGTGAAAAAAATGATAAAAATTTTGTTTGGGTACAATGTGGCATAGTAATCGTAATTTAAAGAGCGAGAGCACTGAAAGCTAAAATTGTCCTGGGCAGGAAGGTATAAGTGCCCTGTATTGAAGTGGTTAATAGCGTAAAAAATTAAAACCGCACAGGAGATCAAATAGCACTGAAAGAAAGCTCAATTTGTGGGAAAATAAGGGCGTAAATTTCATTTGGGTGCAGAGTTGCATGACAGCACAATTGTCAGTTAAATTAACGCAGCACTGTAACGCAAAAAATGGCCTGGTCAGGAAGGGAGGTAAATCCTTTAGAGGGAAAGTGGTTAAGCAAAATGCAAAACATGCAGTCTATGTCAACAAGCTGTGGGAAACCCACCAAGATCTCTATTTCACTACATAAATCTAAATATTCATTCAGATACACGTTTATAAAAAGAAAAAGATATATGGTGAAAAAAGAACAGGAAAAGTGGAGGAAAAAAAACATGAGGGAAAACAATACAAGTGGTGAGAAGGATGGGAGAAGGGGAGGGAAATTGATGACAGGTGGTAATGTTCCAACATTGATGTCATAAGAAAAGAGTATGGCATATCTATTTTATGACTTAGGGGGTTAATTCTCTAAAGGTTACTGCATGCGATATGAAGGCCACATGACTCATTTTTGAGATAATAAAAGAGTCAATTTATCAAAGTAAAATATCGAATGTGAGGTAAATACCACACATTTGTTAAAATAGTGAGATAAATACCGCAAAAAAAAACCATGCGATAAATCATTAAAAGACACACACATTTGTTATTTATCACCTGGTATTTGCTGGCCGTATTTTAGAAATGTACAAAATAACAATTAGAGGAAGTCTACACAAAGTGAAAAGTATACATTGTATCAATGTGAAAATGTTCTCCTCCGAGCTCAGGAATGAAAATAAATTGTAACATTTCATCAGAGGGAGATCACTTTGAAACTATGAATTAATTGTAGTGTGCTTTCATTCACAAAGTATTGCTGTGTGCATTCTGGTGCAATGTTAGCCTGCAAAAAAAAAAAGTGAAACAACATAAAAAAATAATGCAAAATTTAATTGCTAAATATTGCAAAACATAAATATTTAACACATTCGGTAAATAACACATGTTTTTTTTAGTCAGTTGACTACTTTTGAAATAAATACCGTATGAGTTATTTTAACTAAAAAATTCAAGTGGTATTTATCTCTTAGTGAATTGAGTCATATAAAGCAGTTTTAAACTTGAACCAACAGGCCCATATCTTGGTATGATGAGTGACTAATCCTCTAGCAATATGTGTAGGCACTTCCAAGAGGCAGGGACGTACTTACTGCAATGCAAAAAAAAAAAGGTGTTTGCCTTGGGCAGCATTTTCCGGGGGGGGGGGGGGTGGGGGGCAGCGTCACCCCCCAGAAGAAGGAACACATGTGGCAGCACACGCTTGTCTCCGGGCTGCACAGGGTCCACAGTCACCAATCTCCTAAATGGTACACTGATTTCTTAGTTGGCCACAATGATATGATCGGCGCTGAGAGTTCAGAAGGCCTGCTGTGCCTGCACACAAGTGAGAAGGGTCAGGAAGGCATAGATGAAGCGGCTGACAGTTGGGGTTCCTCTGTACCTGCCGGAGGTCACTACTAGGCCCCTGTACAGCTGCAGGTGAGATCAGGTCACAGCACTGCTAGACTCAGGAGAGATGAATGCTGGGGGGGGGGGGGGGTCAGGGGCAGTGCAGGTATTCGTGCAGCTGAGAAGAGCTGCCTGCAATGTATACAACCTATAGTCCTCACCCACCCATAATTCACAGGCCTCTCTAACCTCTGTCTCTGGATCCTAGGAGCTCCCAGCACAGTCCACATCCCAACATGCCATCTACTAACACAAAAATCCTTGCACCGGCCCTGAATAGAGATCATTCTGCCTTGGAGTATTAAACTCATAGAGATTGTGTCAAATGACTTTAGTGAATAGGAGTTTCTATGGTACAATTGTAGGGCAATGCTGACAATTCATTTGACATTCATGACATTTGAAATTTTTTCATTACTATCACAAAAAAATTAAAAACCCAGTGGTGATCAAATATCACCAAAAGAAAGCTCTATTTGTGTGAAAATAAGGACATAAATTTTGTTTGGTCACAGCGTTGCATGACCGTGCAATTACCAGTTGAAATAGGGCAGTGCTGAATAGCAAAAAATGGTCTGGTCAGGAAAGAGGGTAAATCTTCCAGAGAGCAAGTGGTTAATAAGATGGCTTCTCCCAAAAGAGCAAGAGTAGAAGATTAGCCCACATGTCCAATTCTTTACCGACCTTATTTATCAATGGTGCGTAATCAAAGCATACAGTGAAGACGTCATCATACCAGTCTATCCCTAGATATGTGATATATTTCTTCGTTACCACAAAAGGAGTATGCTTTTCCTATTTTCAATGGCATATAGTTGTAATTGATAATATCTCATTTTAGTTAACATTTATACGCAAACCTGAAAATCTACTATATTGTTCAATTGTTTTTTGTATCTCTTGAATATCGTGTTCCAGCTATCATGAAAAAATTAACACATCATCTGCAAATAATGCAGTCTCAATTTCTATTTTTTACTATTTTTATTCCCGTCTATGATGACTCAAAATGAGGATATCTAGATATCTAAAGGAAGAGTAAATAAAATTGATGAAAGCAGGCACCTTGATGGGTGCCCTTCATTGGTTGAATCAGTTGTAATAAATAATTCATTATTATTATACAGGATTTATATAGCGCTAACAGTTTGCGCAGCGCTTTACAATATAAGGGAGACAGTCCAATTACAATACATTTCAGTACAGAAGGAATAGGAGGGTCCTGCTCGTGGAGCTTAAAATCTAAAGGAGGGGGGAGATGATACACAAGGTGATAGCTCCGGGGGATGATCTGGTGGAGGTGATTCAAGTACAGGTCTTAGGTGGAGGTGGGGTAGGCTTCCCTGAAGAAGTGAGTTTTCAAAGATCGCCTAAAGGCAGACAGGGTGGGGGCTGACCGGACATGCTGTGGTAGGGAGTTCCAGAGGATGGGAGAGGCTCTAGAGAAGTCCTGGAGGTGAGCGTGGGAGGAGGTGATGAGGGAGCTAGAAAGGAAGATATTATGGGAGGAGCGGAGTGGGCGATTTGGGCGGTATCTGTGGATGAGGTTGGCGATGTAGCTAGGGGCAGTGTTGTGGATGGCTTTGTAAGCTGTGGTTAGTATTTTGAATTTTATACGTTGAGTTAGTGGAAGCCAGTGAAGGGATTGGCAGAGAGGGGCAGCAGTCGCTGATCGGTTTGGTAAGGTGTGTGAGTCTAGCAGCAGCATCCATAATAGACTGAAGGGGGTACAGCCTGTGTAACTGTAGACCAGTGAGGAGGGAGTTGTAGTAATCAAGGCGGGATATAATCATGGGATGAATAAGTTTTGTGGTGTCATTGGTCAGAAAGGGGCGGATTTTGGAAATGTTCCGGAGGTTGAGGAGGCAGGATTTAGCCAGTGAGTTGATGTGGGGCCCAAAGGAGAGGTCCGAGTCTAGGATTACGTCTAGCACCCTGGCATGAGGGAAAGGACCAACGGTTGTGCTGTTGATCTTAATGGTAAAGTTGTGAGTGGGGCATCGGGGGAGAGGAAATATTACAAGCTCAGTTTTTGAAAGATTGAGTTTAACCATTAGCCTACAGGGCACTTATACCCCCTTCCTGCCCAGGCCAATTTCCAGCTCTCAACGCTGTCACACTTTGAATGACAATTGCGCGGTCATGCAACACTGTACCCATATGAAATTTTATAATTTTTTTGTGACAGATAGAGCTTTATTTTGGTTGTATTTAATCACCTCTGTTTTTTTTTATTTTTGCTTAAACAAACCAAAAACCACTGAAAATTTTGAAAAATAAAGTTTTTTTTCTGAGTTTGTGGTATAAAATTTTGTTAATAAGTGATTTTTCTCCTTCACTGATGGACACTAATGAGGCTGTAGTGATGGGCACTGATAGGATGCCCTGATGGACACTGATGGGCATTGACAGGCATCACTGATGGGCACTGAAAGGCAGCACTGATATATAGCACTGATATATGGCACTGATAGGCGGCACTGACTGGCACTGTTAGGTGGCACTGATAGGCGGCACTGACTGGCACTGATAGGTGGCACTGATTGGCATCACTGATAGGTGGCACTGATGGGTGACAATGAAGGGCAGCTCAGATGGGCACAGATTTTTGGCATTGATGTGCACTGGTATGCACCGATATGTGGCATTGTGGCACTGTTCAGCTGGCACTGATGGACTCTGAGAGGTGGCACTTCTGGGGCCACACTGATCATCAGTGCCCCGATGATCAGTGTACATGTCCCCTCCGCGGAAAGCCGATTACCGGCTCTCCTCTCCTCGCGAGCTGTCAGCGTGAGGACAGTTCTGAGGATTTGGATCTATATGGGATTCTCCCCCCCTGCATGCTGATGCTGGTCCTGGTGGAATGACTAAGGATGCACCCAGACCGAGGACATCTAGTGGCCGACCTGTAGATGACATCTGCCTGGTTATCACAAGTCCAGAGCACCAGGAGCAGGTCTTAAATGCTCCATGCGCTATATATGCGCTATCTGGTTAGTGCATCGTTTGTACATTTACAAGTACACAAAAGTCACCATTATCTCTGACCGTGGATCGCTGTAACATCTGCACTTAATCACCTCTACACCACTACTCTAAAGACTAAGCTAGCATATGTGTTCACATATGATATTATACCACTTATGGTTTTGATTTACCTGTACTTATCCATATTAGCGCTGCATATTTTATTTGTTTAGTGATGTGAAATCAATGCTGATATGTCGCTTAGTAGATTTGTGATATGTGAGGAGATTGAGGGGGTGAGCTGGGGAGTGGATAGATCTGGGTGTCAGCAGCATAGAGGTGGTTTTGGAAGCCATGGGAGTTAATCAGTTGGCCCAGGGAGGAGGTATAGAGAGAGAAAAGGAGGGGCCCAAGAACAGAACCTTGGGGCACCCCAACAGAAAGAGGAAGAGGGGCAGAGGAGGAGTTGTATGTGACACTGAAAGTGCGCTGAGAAAGGTAAGAGGAGAGAACCAGGAAAGAGCAGAGTCACAGAGGCCGATGGAGTGGAGTTTACTGAGATGGAGCGGGTGGTCAACTGTGTCAAAGGCAGCAGAAAGGTCAAGGAGTATGAGTATGGAGTAATGGCCGTTGGTTTTAGCAGTTAGTAGGTCATTAGTGAGTTTTAGTAGGGCAGTTTCTGTGGAATGTTGAGGGCGGAAGCCAGACTATCAGGGATCAAGAAGGTTGTTGTCGGTGAGGTAGCAGTTCATACGGTTGTGAACAAGGCGCTCGAGAAGCTTGGAGGCAAATGGAAGCAGGGAGATGGGTCTTAAGTTATTCAAACAGGTGAGGTCCAGCGAGGGTTTTTTGAGAATGCGGGTAACCAGTGCATGTTTGAGTGCGGAGGGAAAGGTGCCCATGGAGAGTGAGAGGTTGAAGATGTGGGTTAGAGAGTTTAGGATAGAGCAGGAAGGAGGCTGCAACAGTCCTGAGGGGACAGGATCCAGGGGACAGGTGGTGAAGTGGGCCTTGGAAAGGAGTTCGGTAACTTCCTTGGTGGTAACAGGATCGAAGGAGGAGAGTGTTGAGTTTGGTGTTGGGCCTGGTATGTTGGTTAGAGGAGGAAGCTTGACACTGGAGATCTCATCACGAATTGTGTCGATCTTCTTCTTGGGGAAAAATAATTCATAGTACAAAATCTAGCTGAGGGGGAATATTACATTTTTGAATAAAATCTAAAAATATACCAGAGAAGCCCATATCAACCAACTTGAAGCAACCATTTAAAAGAAATATTGTCAAAAGCTTTCTCTGTGTCTAAAGATATAACCACTACATCTTCCCTAGGATGAATCTTAGCATATTCTAGGACAGCAATAACTTTACAGATATTCCACAAACCAGAGCTCCCTTTAACAAACTCTGATTGAGGTGACTCTATAAGAGTTTGAAGTAGATCTAACATGCATGCAGCTACATTTCTAAAAGGATTGTAACAACCACATTTAATAATGAGATCCTTTTTTTGGAATACGTCTTATACTGAACCAGAATGGAAATATGAACTTTCTCTCCCACATGGAGCTATACAAAATAGTAAGGTTTTGAACACTATTTTCCTGAGTCATCTTAACCAGTTAAGGACTGCCCTATAGCAGATGTACAGCTCTGTGCAAATTCACGTGTATACTGTATGTGCTTTTGTACTTTCAAGTTGGAGGGACCTTCCTGGTTTGTCACAGCAGAAGCCTATCAGTGTGTGTCGGCCAATGGATGACCGCGGGCACATGCTGATTGGCAAGGAGACAGAACACAGCTCCGCCTATGTAAACAAGGCAAAGCTCTGTTCTGTCAGCAGCGATGTGCTGGATTTTGTTTCCCTGCAAAGCAGACGATAAAATCCAGCATGTTACATAGTAAAAACACACATAGTAAACACATACCAATTAGGCACACAGTTAACCCTTTGATCGCCCTGGATGTTTAACCCCTTCCCAGCCAGTGTCATTAGCACAGTGACAGTGTACATTTTTAGCACTGATCACTGTATTAGTGTTACTGGTACCCACAAAGTGTCAGTTAGTGTCAGCTTGTGTGCTGAAATATCGCAGTCCCGCCTTAAGTCTCTGATCACCGCCATTACTAGTATAAAAAATAAAAAAAAAATTCCACTATATATATATATATATATATATATATATATAGTGGGGATCGAAAGTTTGGGCACCCCAGCTAAAAATTTGTATTAATATGCATAAAGAAGCCAAGGAAAGATGGAAAAATCTCCAAAAGGCATCAAATTACAGATTAGACATTCTTATAATATGTCAACAAAAGTTAGATTTTGTTTCCATCATTTACACTTTCAAAATAACAGAAAACAAAAAAATGGCGTCTGCAAAAGTTTGGGCACCCTGCAGAATTTATAGCATGCACTGCCCCCTTTGCCAAGCTGAGACCTGCCAGTGTCATGGATTGTTCTCAGTCATCGTCTGGGAAGACCAGGTGATGTCAAGCTCAAAGGTTTTAAATGCCCAGACTCATCTGACCTTGCCCCAACAATCAGCACCATGGGTTCTTCTAAGCAGTTGTCTAGAAAACTGAAACTGAAAATAGTTGACGCTCCCAAAGCTGGAGAAGGCTATAAGAAGATAGCAAAGCGTTTTCAGATGTCAATATCCTCTGTTCGGAATGTAATTAAGAAATGGCAGTCATCAGGAATAGTGGAAGTTAAAGCAAGATCTGGAAGACCAAGAAAAATATCAGACAGAACAGCTCACAGGATTGTGAGAAAAACAATTCAAAACCCACGTTTGACTGCACGATCCCTCCAGAAACATCTGGCAGACACTGGAGTTGTGGTACACTATTCCACTATAAAGAGATACTTGTACAAATATGGTCTTCATGGAAGAGTCATCAGAAGAAAACCTCTTCTACGTCCTCACCACAAAAATCATCGTTTGAACTTTGCAAATGAACATATAGACAAGCCTGATGCATTTTGGAAACAAGTTCTGTGGACCGATGAGGTTAAAATGGAACTTTTTTGCCGGAATGAGCAAAGGTACGTTTGGAGAAGAAGGGGCACAGAGTTTAATGAAAAGAACCTCTGTCCAACTGTTAAGCATGGGTTGGATCAATCATGCTTTGGGGTTGTGTTGCAGCCAGTGGCACAGGGAACATCTCACGAGTAGAAGGAAAAATGGATTCAATAAAATTTCAACAAATTTTGGATGGTAACTTGATGCCATCTGTGAAAAAGCTGAAGTTAAAGAGAGGATGGCTTCTACAAATGGATAATGATCCTAAACACACCTCGAAATCCACGGGGGATTACATCAAGAGGCGTAAACTGAAGGTTTTGCCATGGCCTTCACAATCTCCTGACCTCAACATAATTGAAAATCTATGGATAGACCTTAAAAGAGCAGTGCGTGACAGACAGCCCAGAAATCTCAAAGAACTGGAAGACTTTTGTAAGGAAGAATGGGCAAAGATACCTCAAACAAGAATTGAAAGACTCTTGGCTGGCTACAAAAAGCGTTTACAAGCTGTGATACTTGCCAAAGGGGGCAGTACCGGCCCCCGTTGCCAGTATCATGTGACCTGCTGTGACCAATCACAGCAGGTCACATGACAGTTGTATACAATGGATGGCTTCATTCATGCCATCCATTGTATACTAGTGCCTAGCTGTGAATGGTCACAGCAGGTCACATGCACATGTCATGTGATTAGCTGTGGCCACATCACAGCTAAGCACAAAAAAAAAAAAAAAAAAAAAAAAAAAAAAACATGAATGAATCGATTTCATTCAGGTAAATGCTTGCTTATAGCAAAGTAATTCTTTGCTATAAGCAAATTGTGTAAAAAAAAAAAAAATACTGATCACTTCCCCAAAGTAGTACAATGTTACTATGGTAACATTGTACTACTTTGGTCATAGTAAAATATGAAAAAAAATCTTAAAAAAAATGTAATAAAAAATTAAAATAAAAAAAAATATATATTTTTTTTTCACACTGTCACCAGTCAGTGTCCCTGTTCACCACCATGCCAGTTATATGATGACGCTGTACTGCACTGGTGACAGTATGTAAAAAAAAAAAAAGTGAAAATAATTGTTTTTTAATTTTTTCATTTTCCGAAAAATGACAAAAAAAATACAACTTCAAAAAACTCGCCATGCCTCTTATGAAGTACGTCGGACTGTCTACTCTGCAAAAAGGGGTCATTTGGGGGATATCTGTACTGTTCTGACATTCTTGGACCTCAAGAAATTAGATTGGCCGTCAGTACTTCAGGATTGATCAATATTCAGATATATACCATAGTTTGTGAACTCTATAACTTTCCTACAAACTAAATAATACATCCTAATTTGGGTTATTTCCACCAAAGACATGTAGCAGAATACATTTTGGCCTAAATTTATGAAGAACAATTATTTATTTGTAAACTTTTATAACAGAAACAAAGAAAAACGTGTTTTTTCTTCAACATTTTTGGTCTTTTTTTGTTAATTTAGCAAAAAATAAAAACCCCAGCGGTGATTAAATACCACCAAAAGAAAGCTCTAGTTGTGTGAAGAAAATGATAAAATTTTAGTTTGGGTACAATGTTGTATGACCCGCGCAATTGTCATTCAAAGTGTGAGAGCGCTGAAACATGAAAAATGGCCTGGGCAGGAAGGTGTAAAATTGCCCGGTATTGAAATGGTTAACCCCTTATTAACCCTTAGTTTACTCCAACCAGCCCTAATTAACTCTTTATTCCCCATATCCATTCAATTATTAGTTTCCTGCTGATTATTTTTCTTTTCTATTTTATTAACCATTAATATTTAAATTTTTGTTTGTTAATA